AAAGCTGATAGCTTGCTTTCTCAGATCAGGCAGACGTGGATATGGGCATGTTGAGATTGGAGTTTGAGGGGACGGTGGTAATGTCACTGAAAGCCTACAGGAAATCAATTTCACAAGTGCCGTCTCCCTACTGTGAAACACTACCCTGCTGTCTGCAAAAGTGATACAGACAAGACGGTTCTGTCGCACTCTCAGAAACATGTGAACACATTAGTACACTTATTTAATGTTGCATTGGCACACTAGATTTTCCTTCCTTGCCTCTTTCCCCCCTTCCTTCCTTCTATCTTTCCTTCCTTGCTTCCTTCCCTCTTTTTGTTTCTTTACATATTGGGGCTTTTCCTTCCGGTCTGCAATCCTTCTCTCCTTCCTACTTTACTTCCTCTTCTTTTCCTCTTCATTCCTTCCAACTTTTCCTCTTGCTTTCCTCTTTTCCCCTTCCTTTGTTCCTTACCTCCTACTTCCTTACCACTCTTCCACTTTCTTTTCTTTTTTTTCCTCCTCCTTCCATCTTTTTTACTTTCTCCTTTTACTTCCATGCATCTTTCCTTATTTGTCTTTCTTCCCATCCTTTCTTCCTTCTATCCTTCCCCTCTTCCATCAGTCTTTCCTGCCTTCCCCCTTTTCCCCCTTTATTTCCCATTTTTGTTTCCTTCCATCCTTTCTTTCCATTTGTCTTTTACATTTCCTTACTTTCTTCTGTTCATCTTTCTTCCTTCTAGTTTTTCTCCTCTTTTCTGCCCTTTTCCTCTTCACATCACTATGCAAAAACTCCATTACAATTTATGTAGTTCTGCTGTACCTGTGTTACAAGATTCCCCAGGCTCTTCTATGAGAAATTACACATGTGCAAGTTGAAGTGGACTGTAATCTGTAAACGCAATGACCTGAATGCTCAAGTTCACGTGACAGGAGCATCGTGCACATATGTAGTGATGCCTGACTCCTCTCAGAACTGCTCAGCCCTGTGCCTTTCAATCAGGGGCATGGGCTTGGGCTCAGCTCTGAACATTTACAAATCTCCTCCGGACTTGGCTAAATGGAAACCATCCATCAGAGGTGACAGGAAGCAAACAAAGCCCCAACTTTAGCTGCTTGGATGCTTTTGATGTCATTCTGCGTTCTAAGCCGCTAGAGGTGGGTGACCCATAGTGGTTCATTGGGTAAGCAAGGGAGAACACTGAGTGCAAGATCAGTAGATGAAGTGAGTGTGCAAACCAACAAGGGTTGACAGAACTCTTTTATACAAGAAGGGTGTGAACCTTCAAAGTCGAAGTCTGTGAGTGAGGGGGTGGTCATTGACTTGGATCGTAGCAGATCTGTGTTTTAATAAGAGAACTGCATTGATGAGGATTGATCAGTGGTGGCGTGGGAGTGGGAGGCTGGGATGCTAGGATTAAGGCCGAACAGTGTAATGTCTTCTAATTCTGACTCTTGTCCATGGTTTTTCTATTGTTCCGTTGGTAGAGATAAGCGGCATTAAATTTGAGAGTTTGAGAGAAGGGATTTGGGGGAAGGTGGAGAAAATAGGAGAGAGCGAGAGGCTCAGAAAGAGGGTAAGAGTATGATACAATGAAAATAAAAGAAGAGTGAAGAAAAATGGTGGGGTGTGTTAAGAGGATCTAAGATATCAGAATGAATGTGATGGACATGCAGAGAAAGAATCTGTCCAGTCTTGACACCCTAAGAGCATCTCCTTTGTCTCGTTGTCTCATGTCCAGTTTGAGTAATTTATGGCTGTTATGTTAACCATAACTAGATTTTTCTGAGGAAAAATCTAGTGAGTGGTTATTACTCTAAACGTCCATGCTTCCATGATGCTCAGATGTTGTCATGTGATTTGGATTTCTGGGTATCTTTTAGTATGTTGATAGGGTATTTCAGGTGGTTGCTACAGTAGGTGGTTACTTATTGGCTCAGTAAGTAGAGAGCCCACAGCTAAATCTCTATAAATTTCTGTTCCCAAATATATTTGATTTTGCTGCTGATACCAGACCACTGAAGGTGATTGTTTATGACATTTGAGATTTGGAAAAAATAGCTTTTTGGGGTCTGATGAATGCAGAGGCCATATCAATGTCACTATAATCACTGTTGCAGAATGCACAGTTTTTGCTGGAAAAACCATGTCGGTTACCTGTGCAACTTGAACAGGTTATTATAACCCTTTTAAACCCAATGGTCTAAACTGTTACAGGAGTGTGAAGAGCGTATGATAGGCAGGACCTTTAAAATAGACCTTTCACTCCTTCATTTATGTGGATTTATTCCATTCGCAAGGGATTTTTTCATAAATTGTAATTAGCAGCATTAAGGCAGTGATCTGAATATGATGACATGAATTATTGATTTCCCTGACAGCTGCTTGCAAATCTAGCCTGACATTTGGAAATAAGACGGCATGGAATTATGGCCAGAAAATAATGAAGGCCATTTGTGTCGAGACGAGAGAGGGAGTGCAAAGCAAATGTCTTTTTGGACTTATTAATATTCATTAATACCTCCTGTCAGAGCACCATTGAAACAATTCATTGCTCACGTTTACTGTGTTATGTTCTTTATGATTTATTGATGTGTGTTCGAAAGAGCTGTGTGGTTATGAAGAGATCCCTCAGTGAAATCTGATTGCTCACACAAAACCAGATCATTGTCATCGAGAGTCAATGATTTCAGATTTTATTTCCAGTAATGTTTTTTCTTGTCTTGCAATCCTTCTTTCCTTAGATGATCTAAAAAAAAAAAACTTTCTAACTAGTTTTTTTTTTCCATTAAACTCTTTCTGCACATGTATTTTAACCTTTCTTGTGGAAATTTGGTATGGTCGTATTACCTGTGTTGTGTTCTCTCTTTAATTAATTAATTGCTTCTGTTTCCATTATTCTCATTTGTGAGTCACTCTGGATAAAAGTGCCTGTTAAATGAACAAATTTAAATGATTTGTTTGTTCTCCGTTAGACTATAAATAATGAATAATTTTATACGATAAAATGAGGCATAAAATTAGGCAGAGAATGTCCTAAAAATTACTAACTTGTATATGCGATACCTCCTACATCTAAAAGTGTAATTCTGAAAGCTTGATCCCACAGGCCTCCTTTCCCTGTATATATTTGGCATTTACCTTTATGCTGGATTCTCTGCAACCTGGACCCCTGGCGTGACTTTTTGCTCGATCTGCATTATAGTTCCTTGTGGCACTATAGAGCCAATCATCTTACTGGTTTCTGTGAAGCAACCCCTGCTGATGCCACATTAGATAAATTGATCCTTATGTAGCCAGCTGGTCTGTTGTGGAATTAGAAAAAAATGGGATCCCTGGGAATTTCTGTGTAATGTCAGCAGATATGGGTTGTAATCTCATTCCCTTCAGTGTGTTTGGCTTTAGCTGCCTTCAGTTGGCTGTCTGTTTTTGCCACAGTCCTCCCGGCAGTGGTAAAGTGCATTGCGATTTAATGTCAGGTTGTAAAGACAGCAGCAAAAACCAACAGTGGCGTACAAACACAGGTCTGATACCACAAAGTTTGCAGTCATTTTTGTTAGTGCTGTTTGCAGGAATTAATCTGACAAGCCATGAGATTGGTGAGCTTTGCTTTCATATTTCATACATTACAACACTGAGATGCGCTTGCATTTTGGTTTTGTATCAGGGTATGTGTTCTGTTCTGTATGCATAGATTTGGATGCCATATCACTTATTTTGGTGTTTTTCCCATTGTCTATCTGATTTTGCTTGCCTCGCTGGAAAACACGACATTATGTCTGTGCTTACTCGGGTCATTTTGTGTGTTTGCATCTCTGTGTATACATGTGCATATTCATTGTGTTTTCCAGGGAATTGTTTTTATGACCCTGTCAGTGCGTTGAGGCAATGATGGAGTGATTCGATCCCCTTTTGTAAGTTGGTTTGGATAAAAACATGTGCTAAATGCATAAATGTAAACACAAATGATTGTATAATGATCCAAAATTGGGGGATGGACTAATGGATAGATGGGTAAGTGTGTATACATGTAAGCACAATAACATCTAGGGGTTAGTGATCTTAAAGCATGTTCAAGACTCTTTAAAGTCAGTTAGTTCATTTGGCAGCCATCTTAACAATGACCTTGGGCAACATGGATGCAAGTAATAGAACCTTTTACACAGGTCAAGGATTTGTTGGTTAGCATGACCCTGTTCGCCCCTGCTGGTAGATGCTGTAACTACACCATCTGGTTCTAAAAGGCAAATTTCTTCAAATTTCTGTTTTGTTTTGGTTTATTTTAGTTTGGTTTTTGGACACTTTTTGTGCTTTTTGCTTTAGGTTTAGCTTTTTTGCTTCATTTTTGTTTTGTTTTTGCAAGCAACATACAAATTGTAAATATATTTTATTATGAAAAACATACCATCTAGTTCTAAAAGGCAATTTTCTCCATTGTATGCTTTGTCTTGTTTTTTTTTTTGTTTTTTTTTGTTATTAAACTTGTTACTCTTAGTCTTAGCCTTTATTCTGGAACTACAAAGCCCCCTTTTTTAAAGATTGGTCTAGCTTATTCTAGCTATTGTCTTTCTTAGTGAGACATTAAGGTGTGGGGCTTCCTTTTCTTTCCTACAGCCCCCATATTGAACATTGTGATTCATTGTTGCACAAGTGCTCTGTCCCCTCATACAGTCGCACAGCAGTTACTTTACGAGCATGAGCTTCCATCACTTATTGCTTGTACAGGCAACAAATAGCTCCTTAATCATGTGTAATATGAACCTCATTAATTTCAAAGGATTTTGTTCCGGGAGGCACAGTGGCATGTGGGTTTTTTCCCCCTCTTCAAGTAGCATATTATACTCCCAAGTGAATCTTTTATGTTGGCTAATAAGGTCTAAACCATGTACTCTTTTCTGGTCTCAGGTTGTAAGTAATGCCATTTTTCAGGGTTGTGTTTAATTCTGCCGCTAGAAGCTACAGATTTTGTTGTCTCAGAGTCTGTAATGGATTCTTTCCTGTGTGTTCTCTCTTTTTCCAGCCTGTCCCCCAGGCACCTACAAGATGTCGTCACGGCAGCAAGAGTGTTTCCCGTGTCCAGCTAACAGCAAGGCTGAAGAAGAGGGCTCTGTGCTGTGTGTGTGCGAAGATGACCACTTCAGAACTCCACTGGACCCTCCATCCGCACCCTGCACGTGTAAGACAGTCCGCTTGTGTGTGCGGTGAACGCTTGTGTGTGCATTGCATGTGAAGTTATTTGTGCACAGGTATTTATTTATGTGTGTTCTCATGTTTGTACAATCCAGTCCTGTTGTTTCCTGGTTTCATTTTGTTTACTGTGGGGTTTAGCACTGCCAACGGGAATGTTGTGTTTGTAACTTGTGTGTACAGTTAGGTGATATATATAGTAACACTATTAATTAGTTGCTTATTAGCATGCATATTACTAGCATATTGGCTGTTTTTTAGTATCTATGACGCACATATTAATGCCTTATTCTGCATGACCATATTTTAAATCCTTTAATCCTACCCCATACCTTAACATTTTTACTCATCAGATTTACTCATCCTCAAGGCAAATACAATCGGAGTTATATTAAAAAATGTCCTGGCTCTTCCAAGCTTTATAATGGCAGTGAATGGGGGTTGAGATTTTTAAGCCCAAAAAAGTGCATCCATCCATCATAAAAAGTGCCGCCACAGAAACATGAATGAGATGCGTTCTAACATAACTGTGGCATTAAACTCAGTTAGTGAGGAGGGCTCAGTTAAAATATTGCACATATATAGGCCGTTCAGATTACTTGTTAAAGTGCAATGAAATACCTTATATCAGCGGATGATGTACGTCTGTGTTTGTGGTTGGAGACTCCTTCACCGGCTACAGGCTCTAATCCTCATTTGCGCGCGTGTTTGTGAGTGTCCGAAGTGCGATGCTGAAGTGAAATAGCGGGTCAATTTGATAATAATAGCTGAATTATAATAGGCCGCCTAATAATAATAATAATTTAATACATTAATAGGAGAATGAGCCTAATATCATCTTGACTATTGACAAAGACATCTGCTATCGTCGATATCTCTGACTATCATCGATACACGATACTATCGTCTATCGGCACAACCCTAATTAGTAACCATTATTAGCCAACTATAAACCAATCATAGGTTAATGTCACTGAAAAGTGCACCAAAAAGTCTGACACAGCAGAGTTAGCTCAACCAATGGCGTGAGTTTAGGGCGGGACTATCTGTTTGCTTACCAATGGCAGACGTGGGAGTGAAAACCATTTCCAAAACAATCATTCGTTTTTTGCTTTTCTGTTTAGTGGCTCTAGTTGCACCGACATCACACACTTAAACTTTCAATTCTTGTGTGACCAGCCCTTTATTCTGGGCTGAATGGGTCTCTGAGTGCTTATGACTTTTATTTACACCATTAATTACTGTATTGATTAGGCTGCTGTTATATGAAAGAGACAAAGACTCTGTTATTGTGTTAATTATAGTATAGATTCTACAGTCACTCTTATGAGCAGATGGCACCAGTTTATTATAGCGAGAGAGAGAAATGTCTTTAATGACTGTAAATGACAGAAGACAAAGGATTGAAAGGAGGTGGCATGATATGGATTGCATTACTTTTCTATGTCTATTTTCTGTGCTGTTCTGTTTTGGTAATGTGCCTGTGTGTAGGTGTGTGTGTGTTTGCACCCTAGTGTGTATGTGCTAACGGAAGTGATAAAGCGCTGCTGTGTGTGTGTGTGTGTGTGTGTGTGTGTGTCCTGTCTTGTGGTGGATGTATCCTGACTGCAGCTGTTCCCCACTGCTCATTGCCACACGTGGGCCCCGTTGCATAAGCCTTCAGAGCCTTTAATAAAACAACGCTTCTTGCACACATCTAAATTATTCCATACACACACTCACACTTGAGCTTTTGTGTTACAGTTTCATTATCCTCTGCTGCATTTATGAGACAAGGGGCTCTTTTTCAAAAGCCTAGATCTCAAAATTAAAACTTAACAAATGCATATACCAGAGAACAATCAGGCACTCAGAAATGCTGTGTAGCACCAGTTATGATGCTTTTGATTATAATGATTTATACCTTTACTTGGATCCCACAGTTAATTCAGATGAATTCAAATTCCTTTGGTGGCATTTATTGAAAGTGGCATTTAGTTAAAAGAAAGATTGTAAAACTTGTAATATAAAATAATTTAGAATGTAACATTCTATAATAATATAATATAATATAATTTTTATTTTACAAATAGAATTATTTAATTTTAATACAATTATTTTATTTTTAATTATTATTATTATTATTATTTAAAAAAAAATTTGTTTATTAGTCTTATTTGATCTTGTTTTATTAATATGTGTTATTTGTTTTAGTAAGTTATGTAGTGAGTAATATTAATTGAAATTGATTCAGATAAGTCTAATAATAATAATAATAATAAAACATTTAATCATTTATTTAGTCTTAGTCTTATTATATTATATTCTTAGTCTTATTTCACTAGTTTTGTTTTATTGATAATGGTTCAGATAAGGTTTTGTTTTGTTTGTTCATATTTATTGTGGATTACTATTTTTTGACCATCTTGTCAAAAAAAGAAAAGCAAACTCCCTATATTACACGGGAAGGTTCTATCATTGCAGCATATTGAGTCCATCTTTGCAGTGTGTATGTGTTTGTGTTTGAGGGCAGCGGGAGGCACCTGTAGTGCTCTTGGCCTGAGCTGATGATGGGCAGCTTAAAGCCCTGGTGACATTTAAATGGCTTCCTGCTGCTAACAGATTCTTGTCTGACAAACGGCATTAGAGATACAGGGCTCCAGCCTTGACCCACTCCTCCCAGAGTCAACAGAACAGTCCCGCGTTACAGGACAGCAGCAATTAACACATCTGATCTCTCTCCTCCTCCCCACCCCTCTTTTATATCACTCTCTCTCTCTATGTTAGAGACTGTCATTCATTCTGCCCACATGATTGACCATAAATCAGTTGCAGCTTCTGGGGGAAGTAGTTGTGAATGCCATTGCAGCAAGCCATTCAGTTCTATATAGCCGCTTTAAGGTCCTTGATCTTACCATGAAATCAAATGCTTTTTATAGGCTATCACAAAACCCATTTGAAAATCTGAAAAACACAGTTATTGGTACTGCTGCGTATTGCTGTGTTTAAGTTGAATTTCTAAGGCTTCTACGGCTAAATATTCATGTTAGTTAGCAATTGTGTGAATTTGTTTTAACCAAATTTAAAATATATATTTTTTAATTGAAAAACTTAAAAGTTTTTCCAGTTTTAAGATATAGCTAATCTGGAATACATATGTTAATTTTGTATGTTCCTTTGTTTAATGCTTTTAGTCTAAAACGGGTTAGTAATAATAATAATAATGGAAAAATACTAATACAAAATGAAAACACTTAATAATAGTAATAATAATAATAATTATTATTATTTTTATTACAAAATTAAAATGATTAATTTAATTTTTATCTTTGCTTTTTTTATTTTAATTCTGCTACCACAGATTCAGTCAAATTACTGTACATGTCGGCACATTTACATGAAGGAGCCTTTCCTCTCCCTGTATTTGTATGAATGGACTTCTTGCTAGTGCATGAGAGCTGTGTTCGTCTTTGCCAGTGCCCTCAATACTCCATGATCTCTCTTTGACTGTCTTCCATGGCCTGTGTTCATTTCCTCTCAAGTGATTTTAAGCCTAAAGCTCCGTTAAGCTTTACCCAGTTGTAGCTAATTGGGTTAAATTATTAAAAAGAATTACAGTTCATTGAGGGGTAATTATCATCATGTTAATTAGAGTATGTTCAGATGACATTTATTTAATGATTATGAATGTGTTTTTGTGTGTGTGTGTGTGTGTGGCATGTGTGGTATTGAACACTTTGTTTTAATCAAGCATTACAAGATTCATTTGTATGTTTGTTTATTTATTTATATATTTATTTTTGCACACAGGCCCTCCCTCTCCACCTCGTGATCTGGTCTACACCCTCAAACAGTCCACGCTCATTCTGGAGTGGGCTGCTCCGAATGACTCAGGCGGCCGAGGGGATCTCACCTACAGCATAGGCTGCCGGCGATGTGTCGGCCCCCCGCGGGCCCCGCAGGTGCAGTGTGAACCCTGTGGAGCCAGTGTGGGCTTCGTACCACAGCAGAGCGGCCTGACGGAGCGCACAGTCACCGTCGTGAACCTGCTGCCCAACACCAACTACTCCTTCAGCGTGGAGGCCCGGAACGGCGTCTCGGAGTTACTCCGCAACAAACGGTTCTACACACAGGTCAACATCTCCACCAGCCTCCCAGGTATGTTCTTCATAAAATATTTACACTAGTATTTACTTAGTATCGTTCCCTGTTTTCCAAATAAAGTGCATCAGTGAGTCAAAGTTGGCTTTTTTATCAGGATAAAACCTGTTTAGCAAGAGACAGTTGAGTTAAACACTGTAAAATAAATGTTAGTGCTGCTTTTTCACAATGCAGCTTTTGCATTTGTCAGTGTAATGTGGACGGTGAATGCTGGTTTCATGTTTTTTGTCTGTGAGTGGTGTCATGCTCCTAACGTCGGTAGAGACAGTATTTGAGGACACTGTCCTCTCTCAGTAACACTGCAGCAGATGCGTTCACTCATCTCCATTTGATTTGAGTGAAATAGTCCCTTTTTGAGCCAAATGAAGTTGTGACAAAGCAGCTTATTCATCTTAGTGCTTCTCAGTTTCATTGCGTCCTCGTGTCATTGATGTCTTTCCACCATGTGGGATTAAAGACGTTCATGTCCTCTTTAATGAGATCGGCAGCAGTGGTCAGTGGTTATTTTATTTTGGTTTAGTGGATTCATAATTGTTCACATGAGTATTATCAAAAAATACACAAAACCATTTACCTTTTTTCCCCATTATTTGAGATGGTCCTTTTATTGTGGCTTTGTGCTGAACAACAGAAACTACACAATTGCAAATCCACTGATAGTGGTTTATGTCCAGAAGACTAAAAGTTCTGCACATAATTGGAGGTTATAGTAATTTCTTTGAGGTGAAATTGCCATTTGTCTGCTAGGTTATACCAGAATGAAAAGAGAGAAATTGGTGTCTGAATGCAGTGTTATTCTCAAAGACCCCTTTGCTATAGTCACAGAATTCAGTAAACAGGGTTATGGGTAACTGAAAGGCCAGAAATGTGCTCATAACAGAAATTACTGATGTAATAATAATAATAATAATAATAATATTGATAGTAATAATAACTAAATGCACCTTGTTTTGTGTGTCTGTGTCTGTGAATCGGGTTTAGCTTATATTGTGGTGACTACAGTAAACGACCCCTTAAGGATAGTAAAACCTGAAATTACCTCCGGCCAATGGTGCCCATAAGGTCAATGGCTTATTAACATATTAAATAATGTCTTAATGCAGAAAGGTTTGTGTGAGGGTTTGTTTTAGAAGCTAGAAAATATCTAGTGCATAAAGTACACAATCAGCATAAGTCAACGGCAGGTGCCCACCATACACACACAGGCTGTGTGTGCATGTCGACCCATGAGCACACACTCCATTTTTAGTGCTGATCAATTACAAAATGAAGTTGTATAAGAGCAGCATCTGGAGTCAAGTAGGGCTTACTGAACAGCTGGTGTGTGTTTGTGTGACGGGTCAGTTCCAAAGAGTTTGCCTGCACACACACACACACACACACACACACACAATGTACACAGTATTATGTAAATGCCAGGTACACACTTCGGAAATCACTTCATCAGTGTTAGACCCTCACCTATATCATCAAATGCCTCTACAGGACCATGTGCACTGATATTTGCTCGCTTTACACAACCCCCAGATTAACACAGGCCCGCTGAGCCACTCTCTCACACACACACACACACACACACACATACTGTACAGAGTCACACAGACTCACACTCACATTACCGCTTGCTCAGATCCTTCAATGATCCCAGAGTGCCGGAACACAAAGGCTGAAATAAGCAGTGCAGGAGCCGCATGTTTATTAATGGAGGAGATCTCTTTCATCAAAACTTCTACGCACTCAGATTTTGCTTTCCATTAAGAGTAAATTGCAGAGCGTTTATTTGGCACTCGACTCCTGCGCCTTTCATTATTTGATAGTCTTTCCAACACAATTGCTTTTTCTCTGCCAAAAATGACTCTTTCTTTGTCTCTCACACCTTTTCAGTAGACTATTTTCTCTCTTTCTTTCTCTCCTTTTCCCCTTCAGGCAGAGTCCAAATTAACTCTTTTCCACACCTGCCAAAGCAAGTGAATCGAGAACATTTGCCAGCCATGAGGCTGTTTATATAGATTTTTTTTCAGGATATATATTAGGATATATATTTTTTCAGAAAATTTGAAAGAACAATTTGAAAAAACAAATCATCACCTCTTTTAGAAGAAATGTCTTTACTGTTACTTTTTGTTAATTTTATGTGTCCTTTCTGAATAAAAGTATTAATGTTCTTTAAATATATAATAGATATAATCATTTATTATCTATTAATTAATTAATTGTTTAATAATTGTAATTATAATTTATTATTTCATATAAATTTTCATTTGAATCACTTTGCATGTGTGAGGGTTAGACTATCATTTACTGTGACACTGGCAAATAATTTTTTATCTGCTCACCAAAGGCAGTTTTTAAATTGCATTTGGCACTTGGTGGGTGTTAATTTTGGACCTGGGTCTCAAGTATAAATCATTCCTCTGAAACACGCCATCCTTGTTTTTTTTTCTATTGTGCTTGAAGTTGTGTGGGTAGCCATAACACAAGTCTTTAATTTTTATGTGTATTCCATATTCTAACTTAATTTTCCTCTCTTCTCCTGTTCCGTTCTCAATAAACACACCATTAATCTCTCCCTCACGCAGCACAGGCTCAAGGTTAACTAGAGCTCTCAGAGGAAGTGCTATTACTTTATTGTGATGTACAGTCTCAGAGGCAGCTGTGTGTTTGAGCTCTGTGATTAGAGTCGGGTGTGATTGCAAGCCAACACAAAGGAGTTTTAACTGACTAGAGGCTGAGATCAGTGCCGTGCTTGTGTTGAATGTGCGCATTCTGTATTTATTGGCCCTTTGTTGAACTCTCTGTGGAAATGAAATATAAGCATGCTGATCATTTTGAGAGCAGTTTGCAGCAAGCAAATTGGATCACACGGCAGCCATCTCAGTAAAGCCTCCGGACAGATGTTTTCTGTGTGTTTCTGTGGCACACAATTACTGCTCCTATGTACTTGAATAGGGAAAGATATTCTAATTCTCTGAAACGTCAAAATTACATTTAAATAAATATTTTCAAATAGCTGTAAAATGTAGTTCAAAGCAGTATTAACATATTTCATAAGTTTAAAGGGATACTAGTCCACCCAAAAATGAAAATTATGTCGTAGTTTATTTGTGTCGTTCCAAACCTGTATGACTTTCTTCTTTTCTGTGGGAAACAAAAGAAGATATTTTGAAGTGCATTGGTAACAGAACCATAAGTTTCAGTTCCCAATGACTTCCATTGTATTTTTGTCCATATAATGGAAGTCAGTGGGGATCAAAACAGTTTGGTTACCAACATTCTTCAAAGGTGTTTTTTGTTTTATACACTAGATAATTCTGGTGCAGTGTGGGGTCACCAATTAAATGGATAGTTCATGCAAAAATGAAAAGTCAGTGGTGTCCAATATTGTTTTGGACCCCATTGTCTGTCATTGTATGAAAGATAAACAGTTGAAACTTTCTTCAAAATATATACTTTTATGTCATAGAAGTTTCAGTTGTAAAAATCAGCTGAGAATCCCTGTTAGTGCCTATAAAGTAAAAAAAAAAAAAAATATATATATATATATATATATATATAACTTTGTCAAAA